TTTTGTTTTGTACACAAAATGGCGGCGGTACAGTCTCTCCGTATAGGCCGTTTTTGTAGGAGATGGAAAACGGCTGCCATCGCCCTGATTTTTCTATTGGTCTGAAATCAAAAAGTAAAAATGATTTTGATTACTGATGAGTTTAGGCGAAGGATAAACCTATAAAATTGATAAAAAATACAAAATAAAAAATTTGGTAGGCTTTTTAACCTTCAGACCGCCGGCATGGCGCATTTAGGCGCATAAAATTAAATCATATATTTTTGATCAGATTTGTCATTCATAGCATATTTTGGCGTGCTGAATGCGATTCTGTCATCTAATTAAACTTACATCTTCGATTTTTGCATAAAAACCAAACTTTTCATAAAAGTCAGAAACAAATTTTTTTTTTGCAACTTTGAATGAATACATTATTGCTTCTATATTTTGACGTTCCGAATACGATTTTGTTGTCAAATTCAGTTTCAGGCTTCCCAGTTTTGCGTAAAAAATTTTTTTTAGAAAAAGTTTGACTTGAAAACGTTTAACTCTATTTTTCAATAGATTTTTTCTTCCGTAAAAATCGATTTTGATCAGTAAAAAGTTGTTTCAAAGAAACTTCTCATTTAGACTCGCGATTGTCATTTCTCTTTTCTTCAAAATATTCAAGAAGTTTTTTCAAAGTGTGTACACTGATTGTCAATTATAAAATAATGTCGGATATAAACGACGAATGTGATGCATGGAGTAGTGGTGAATCCGAAGGCGACTCAATTACAAGTGATGATGACATTTTTGAAATCAATGATGATGATCTTCATTACCTACCCGGAGAAGAAATATTTTATGATAACCATTTTTACCCTTCGATAAAAGATTTTATAGGATCAGGTAGTTCTATATCAGAAGATGCTCCATTGAATGGTAATAAACCAATCAACTATTTTCAACTTTTCTTTGATGATTTTTTATTAGATCTTATTGTCCAGGAAACTAATATTTACCAAAATCAGAATCCTGAGCCTGTGCGTCAAAAAATGGCAGCATGGGTAGATGTAACAAGGGAAGAGTTAAAAAAATTTTTAGGGCTGACAATTCTTATGGGTCATTTGAAAAAGATTTCACTCGAAGATTATTGGAGTACTAACCCTTTGCTAGTTACTCCGATATTTCCTCAAACCATGCATCGCAATAGGTACAACCAAATTTTGCGTTATTTGCATTTTCATAACAATCAGGTTGTCATGAATCACCCTTTGAAAAAAGTAAAGGTTATAATCGATAATTTGAATGCCAAGTTTTCACGTTTTTTGAAACCAGGTAAAAAAATGTGTATCGACGAAAGTCTTCTGCTATGGAAAGGCAGATTGAAATTCAAACAGTACATCCCTCTGAAAAGACATCGTTTCGGTATAAAACTTTTTGAACATGTTGATTGCTCAAGTGGTTACATACTAAGCTTTATCGTGTATACAGGAGCAGATACAGACTACGAAAAATTTGGTTTAGGAATTTCAGGTGACATAGTTGCTCATTTTCTAAAACCTTATTTTGGAAAAGGTCATGTTATTTATATCGATAATTGGTATTCTTCGGCTCCTTTATCCGTCTTTTTACATGAGAAAGAAACTGGTGTTTGTGGAACGGTAAGAAAAAATAGAAAGGGACTTCCTAATTTCAAAACGCCTCTAAAGAAGGGCGAATCAGAAGTTGCTCACAATAATCTTTGGATGGTTGTAAGATGGTTTGATAAAAAAGAAGTCTATATGATCACTACCGTACATGAATTCAATTATGCAGAAACAGGAAAACAAGAATATACGACAGGAGCAAATATTTTAAAACCAACTTGTATTATTGATTATAATAAGAATATGGGAGGAGTAGATAATGTCGATCGCCAACTAGCGCTAAGTGAGTCGGTAAGAAAGTCGACTAGATGGTATAAAAAGCTCTTCTTCCATTTGGTAGATCTTTCATTGATCAATGGACATGCACTTTATAAATTGCATCAAGAAAAAACGAGTTTCTCTAGCTTTCGAATGAAAATAATTGCTGGTTTGCTGGGTATTGAGAAAATTACACCGGCTTTTATTCAACCACCTCCTTTACGGCTTGTAGGACGTCATTTTCCTGCATGCGGAGAGACAAAAAAACGATGTTACATGTGCTCTTTAGAGAAAAAAAGAAAAGAAAGTAAATATTGCTGTAAGAAATGTAATGTGGCATTATGTGTCGTCCCATGCTTTGAGAAATACCATACCCTAGGTAACTTAACGGATATAATATAAGTATTCGTGTATTATGTTTTGATTACTATAACATTATAACATATATAACTATTTCTTTGGACGTATTGATAATTTTTATAATATTATTTTATATAAATCTAAATAAAACAGAAAATAAAAAAAAATAAAAAGAAACAAAAAAAACAAAAAAAATTAAAAAATAAAAATACAAAAAAAAATTAGAAAAAGGGGCTACAATACTTTCTACGTCCACGCCGTTAGCCCTGGGTAATGCGAAAGGAAAGTAAAAAATGAATAATCACAGATTAGTCCAGTGCGAGTCGAAAAGTTCAAGATTTTCTATTGACGATTTGCGGGAAAAAAATTAAAAACTCAATTTTCTCAGAACAAAAATTTTTTCGTATACTTCACAAAATTCTGAACAAAAAAGGCACTTACAAGTTTTCCGCAAAAATGCACCGTTTTCGAGCAAAAAATTTCCGAAAATTGATGCATACGCTTATACCACCGCCCGCCGGCATGACGCCTTTAGGCGCGCACCTGTGATGGGTATATATCTACCACTAGTTGGGAGACACTTGTATGGAAATTTTCGATCAAGTATCACTTTTCTAGAAGAAAAAATGCCGGCGGTCAGAAGGTTAATAAAAAATTCGAATTTTCGCCTATTTTTTCCACAGTTTGTACCCCCTTAAAATTGTTTATTTATTCAAAATCTGTAATATTTTAGGTTTATCCTTCCGATAATTATGTTGACTAAAATCCCTCAAAATTTCAGCCCGATTGGTTAATAACTTTTTGAGCTACAGTGGCAGCCTTTTTTGAAAATGTAGTTTCGAGAAAATCGCGTTTAAAGATTCAGGACGATAAAACTATTGGTTTTTGCGACTTACTGATCAATCAGCGATTCCAGGTGCATACAATAGCCCTTCGGTTTCCTCGAAAAGCTGATTATCTTCCAATAGCTGCTGTTTCCGGGCAGTACGGGCAGCTTTTTTCTCGTTCTGGCTCATTCTGTTTTGCCTGGTTACGCGAGCCTCATCGGTGTTCTTCGCGAAGTTGAGGGCTTGAGTTCCGACAACGATGTCCAATGCATTCATTATTCTTAATATTGAAGTATAGCCTTCATTAAATATTCCGGCTGCAATGTAGGCTGATATTTCAATTATTTTTTGGCCAGAATACAAGTGTTTCGGAGTCAATCGCCAAATGGTAGAGTTAAAACTTTCGTTGGCGTTCTGCGTATGGCCACCCAA